ATGTTCTGATTTGTTGGGTTTTTTTGGGGGGACGGTTTTGTTTCATTTTGTTTTGGTATACTTTCTAGAGGGCTTTGGTTTTGGATTTTTTTTTAGTTAATCATGGGGTTCACATTTAACATATAAAATTACAACAATTAATTTGAATTTATGCCAGCTTAGCTTCAATCATATTTTTTTAAACTCTGCTTCTATATGACTCTGTCCCCATCCCTTTTAGTTATTGATGTCATGAAATTACATCTTGTGTGTGTTGTATGTCCAAAAATTTAGGTCAATAATTGTTATTTATGTGTTAATCTCTTAAATGTAGAAAACAAAAGGTGGAGTTATAAACCCAAGTTACTAGTTTTTATAATTGTCTGTGTATTTAATTTAACAGAGATCTTTATTTGGTCAAATGGCTTTGAGTTACTATCTAGTGTCCTTTCATCTCAACCTGAAAGACCCCCATTAGCATTTCTTGCAGGATACATCTAGTAGTAAAGAACTCCTTGGCTTTTATTTATCTGCAAGGTCTTAATTTCTCTCTCATTTTTGAAGGACAGTTTTGCTTGTTACAGGATTCTTGGTTTTTTTCCTTCAACACTTGGATATATCAACCCACTGCCTCTGGCCTCTGTGGATTCTGATGAGAAATCTGATAATCTTTGGAGATCCATTGTATGTGATGAGTCGCTTCTGTCTTGTTGCTTTCAAGATTTTCTCTTTGCTTTTGCTTTTGACACTTGGATTATAATGTGCCAAGTGTGAGTCTCAGAGTTTAGCCTGGTTGGAGTTTGAGCTTCTTAGATGTTAATATTTGTGTCTTCCATCAAATTTGGGAAGTTTTCAGGCATTTTTTCTTCAAATAAGCTCTCTGTCCTTTTGTTTCCCTCTTCTTCTTCTAGACTAACACATTGCATATATTGGTTTACTGATGGTATTCCATAGGTTCTTATGTTCTGTTCACTTCTGGTCAATCCTTTGTCTTTCTTTTCTTCAGATTTGATATCTTCAAGTTCACTGATTGTTTCTTCTGACTACTCAAAGCTGTTTTTGTATCCGTTTACTGAGTTCTTTCATCCAGTTATTATACTTTTCAGCTCCAAAATTTCTTTTTGATTATTCTTTATGTTTCCTATCTCTATTGATATTTCTGTTTTGGTCGTGCAACATTTTCTTGACTTTGTCCACATTTTCTTTTAGCCCTTTGAGCATCTTTTAGACAAATATTTTAAAGTCTTTGTCTAGGGGCACCTAGGTGGCTCAGTTGGTTAAGCGTCTGCCTTTGGCTCAGGTCATGATCCTGGGTCCTGGGATCAAGCCCCACATCGGGCTCACTGCTCAGCGGGGAGCCTGCTTCTCCCTCTCCTGCTCCCCCTGCTTGTGCTATCAAATAAAATCTTAAAAAAAAATAAAGTCTTTGTCTAATAAGTACACAATGTGGTCTTTCTCAAGGACAGTTTCTCTTGATTTTTTTTTTTTTTAGAATGGGTTGACTTTCCTGTTGCTTTGTATGTCCTGTGACTTGTTGTTGTTGTTGTTGAAAACTGGACATTTGGAGGTTGTTGTTTGTTTGTTGAATGGTTGTAGGGTGTCTCTACTGGAGATCAGTCTGGGGTGTAAACTTAAGGTCTTCTGTTTTTTTTCTGAGACTGTGCCTGTCCCTGGGCATGTATGATGATTTTCTCTATTCCTCCATGTATGTGATTTTGAATATCCTAGTCCTTGAATTTCTGCCTCCAAAAAGGGGAATAAGAGAAATGTGAAGGGAGGGTGGTAGAGGGATAGACATCTGCCCTTTAAATCCCCTGAGTCAGGGGAGGGAGAGGTTTTGCAACAATGACTGCCCACCTGTATGTCACATCTCCACCATCAGAAGCATATATCTGTGTTACTTGGAGGACAGAGTCCTCATTGCCCACCCTGGCTCCAGCAAGCTCCTCCAGGAAAATGTGCATGGCTGCCTGCTGGGGCTCAGAGTTAGACAAGTTGGGACATGGATAACTTACACAATGCTAAGAGCTGATATTGACCCAAATTAAAGCAATTTAGCATGTTGCAAGCCTTCATTAGACTGTAGAGTTGCAAAATAGTTACATCAGATTGATTCTGTCAGTGCATTTGTGATCCAGGTGAGGAGACAGGCTCCAGGTGCTTACTGACCCACCATCTTCCCTCTAACTCAGCCTGGAGGTACTTTTTGTAGTATCTTTCCTGTGATCCGTTGTGTGCTGAGTTGTTTCAGGCCAATATTAACCACTGACCTGTCCTGTCTTACCCTTAGGATTTAGATCTTCCAGGTCCCATGCAGTTGCTCTGCTGGGGTTAGGGGAAGAGTCCCCTATGCTTCCAGTCTCCACAAGATGGGCCCCCAGAGGGCCTGACCCAGGTGAATGATAGCTGGGGGAGAATGTGATATCAGAGCTTTGTTCAAATCATACCAGGAACCTATCATGTTTGACTTGTGTTTTGGTGCCATTGCTGGTGGCCAAAATTCACTTCTATCTTCCCTTCTCCATTCTTGACACTTTGCTGACTTGTCATTTTTATTCTTTCTCTAGGCCCAGGCTAATCCCCACCTCTGTGGACCTTTTTTCTCACTCATTCTTCACACTCTTCTCTCCACAGTGATTTTCAACATTGTTGTACTCTAAAATATGCACATATCTTTTAAGAATTCTTTTTTTTTTTTTTAAGATTTTATTTTTATTTATTTGACAGAGAGAGACACAGTGAGAGAGGGAACACAAGCAGGAGGAGTGGGAGAGGGAGAAGCAGGCTCCTAGTGAGCAGAGAGCCTGATGCAGGGCTCCTTCCCAGGACCCTGAGATCGGGACCCCAGCCGAAGGCTTAACCTACTGAGCCACCCAGGTGCCCCTTTAGTTCACTTAAAGAACTCTAGTAATTAAATAGCAGTTGTATTTAATTCACTTTTGTTTTTTTATAGACACAAAGGATGATATAAAATATTTATCAGGAGATCCATAATAAAAATTGGATCATATGAGAAATTATAGAAAATTAGGTACCTTAATGGTGAAATATCAAATGTCATTTATTATTTAACTTCTATTTTCATAAACATATATGAGATGAGCATTTAATATGTGTTTATGATTATTTTCCTCCTAAAATATTTTTTTAATAAAATTTGCTCGAATTTTTGTCTTTTATCAAATTGATTAATAGGGGTACTGAAAATTGTCAGGACAGCTTCCTCTATATAATTTATGTATCCAATATTTTAATTGGGTTGCATTAAAAAAACTTGTAGTATCTTTTTTTTTTTTAAGATTTTATTTATTTATTTGAGAGAGAGATTGTGCACTAGAGCACAAGAAGGGGAGAGGGAGAAGCAGACTCCCGGCTGAGCAGGGAGCTGGATGAGGGACTCCATCCCAGGACCCTGGGATCATGACCTGAACCAAAGGCAGATGCTTAACCGACTGAGCCACCCAGGCGCCCCTCAAATGATGTATTTCTTTAATTCACTGGAAATATTAGTAGCCAAGTTGGACCTGATACGATTGGTGACCGAAAGTTTCAGAATGCTATTTTATTGACAAATAAATACCAAAAAAGGCCAAATGCTTTTCTTTGTCCCTGACCCAACCAACTGAAGCTCACAAAAATGACTTTAACACGTCAGGCTGCATGTATTTAAAGAGCGGTAAGATAATGCTTATTCGCTTCCAGCTACCAGTGGATGTCCACTAGAGTTGGCTTCATAGAGTCTGAAATAATGTGGAAACACTTCAGTGGATCAGTAGCACCAAAGACTTTAAAGGACACTTAAGACTCTCCAGAAGTTGGCCCGCTGCCCCTTTAAGAAGAACCGAAGTCTTTCCCCCACCCTAGAAGTATAGGAGGGTCACTTCCCTTAGGCCTCGCCTTGCCATTTGATCACTTCTCTGAGAGTTTCTGGTGTTGGGCGCCCCTTTTCCAGGCCTGAACGACGAAGGAACTACATTACCCAGAAAGCTTTGCGTTGAGCGGCAGCGGTAATAACCCAATGAAAACCCAGAAAGGGAACATTCCCGGCAGGACGAACCGCCTTGAGGCGGTGCTTCCGTCGTTTCCGTGGCGGTCGTTTTAGCGGTTCGGGGGTCTTTGGGCTCGGTCAGAGGACCCGGAACACGGGTTGGAGCCCAGGCGACGGACAGGGAAGGCACGAGAGGAGGCTTTGTCCCCACTGTAGGGAGGCGGGTCTAGGGTCGGGGGTATCGCCGCCTGCGAGGACCGCCTGGAGACCTCGGTGCCCGCGACTGCCCGGGTCGCTCAGCTGTCATCACTTCACTCCGCCCAGAGGCTCCGATGGCGGCGGCCGCGCGCAGGGACCCGGCTCAGGTAAGCGCTCGTCCCCCCA